TCTCAGAACCCAGTGCTACAGAGAACCGAGGGAAGTGTGACCCTCAGCCCAGGATTGCTGAATTGAGTTAGGTGAATAAGGTGGCATCTTTTTATTCAGAGGGGAGTCTGCTGGCAGTGGCCCCTGACTGAGCTGTACATAGTGAAAAGCTTTCTCTGCTCTTGCCGAATCTCTCTCCAGATTCTTTTACCCTTTTCCTCTACCTTGAGGGAAAGTGGACATCAGGCTATGGGACCCAATAGCACAGCAGTTTGGTGGGAAAGACATAGACTGTTGTGCTTTTAGTGACTCCAAGGAAAAAAGATAGCAACATTATTTTGATTCCAATCTGAGAGCTTTTTATAAAAATCATTTTATTGGGGGCTCATACAACTCTTATCACAATCCATACATACATCCACTGTGTCAAGCACATTTGTACATTCATTGCTCTCATCATTCTCAAAACATTTGCTCTCCACTTAAGCCCCTGGCATCAGCTCCTCAGTTGTTCCCCTCCCTCCCCGCACACCTCTCCCTCATGAACCCTTGATCATTTATAAATTATTATTATTTTGTCATGTCTTACACTGTCTGATGTCTCCCTTCACCCACTTTTCTGTTGTCCGTCCCCCAGGGAGAAGGTTATATGTAGATCCTTGTAATCAGCTCCCCCTTTCCAATCCACCCTCCCTCTACCCTCCCAGTATCGCCACTCTCACCACTAGTCCTGAAGAGATCATCCACCCTGGATTTCCTGTGCTTCCAGTTCCTATCTGTACCAGTGTACATCCTCTGGTCTAGCCAGATTTCTAAGGTAGAATTGGGATCATGATAGTGGAGGGGGCAGGGGAAGCATTTAGGAACTAGAGGAACGTTGTTTGTTTCATCGTGGCTATACTGCACCCTAACTGGCTCATCTCCTCCCTGCGACCTTCCGTAAGGGGATGTCCAGTTGCCTACAGATGGGCGTTGGGTCTCCACCCTGCACTCCCCCTCATTCACATGATATGATTTTTTGCTCTTTGATACCTGATCCTCATGATTGCACAGGCTGGTGTGCTTCTTCCATGTGGGCTTTGTTGCTTCTGTGCTAGATGGCCGCATGTTTAACCTTTAAGCCTTTAAGACCCCAGATGCTATACCTTTTGATAGCCAGGCACCATCAGCTTTCTTCACCACATTTGCTTATGCACCCGCTTTGTCTTCAGCGATTGTGTCAGGAAGGTGAGCATCATGGAATGCCAGTTGAATAGAACAAAGTATTCTTGCATTGAGGGAGTACTTGAGTGGAGGCCCATTGTCCATCTGCTACCTTAATACTAAACCTATACATATATGCACATAGATCTATTCCCCACCCTCATATATAAATATATTTACATATGTACATGCCTGTATTTAGACCTCTATAAATGCCCTTTGCCTCCTAGAGAGCTTATATTTTGAAATGACAGTATTTTTCTTGGCACACCAAGAGGTTGTGGGCTTTTAACTTTTTACTGTGGATTGAGTAAAGGTTTACAGAACAAATCAGTTTTCCATTCAACAATTCATACACAATTTGTTTCATGTCATTGGTTGCAATACCCAGACTATAACCACTTCATCCCACTTCATCCCTGTGTTTTTTCTTTCCATTCCTCCTTTCCAGCCTCTGACCTTTTTTTCTTGGGCAAATGATTGACTGTTTTCAGGGACATCAGGATTTCTATAAAGCCTCCCTACACTATGCCATCCAAGCAGTGTGATCTCGTCACAGTTTCTTAAACATGCTCGAGCATAAGAATTACTTGAGGCAACTTTTAAAAGATGACTCCTTGATGCTGTTAGCTGGTGTGTGTGAGATCTGAGCAAATCCTATGTTTGGTTGAAGTGGCAAAATACAGATCACCTGAGAACTTGTCTCGTTATCACGGGAGTGGTGGTGAGGGTGGGTGGGGGTTGAAGCAGTGTTATGGAAGAAAGGTCTGCCAATCCACTTTCGTAAAAATTATTGTTATGCTGTTAAAGCAATTCTTACTCATATCGACTCCATGGTTATGTCCAAGAAACCCTAATTACCAGTTTTTTGTCAAATTAAGACTGCATTCCTTTAAATAAGGCTAATTGAGTGTGATCAACCAGCAAAGAAGTGTTTTTAAGAAGTAAAAGTTTTTAGAGACAGGAAAATGCTAACAAAAAAGCTTTGAGTAAATGGTTGAGAAGTCTTTCATTTGGAGGAAAGATAATTGATTGGCTGCTATGAGGTATTGGTTTCTTTATGATTGATTGACTCTGGGTAACTGAATCAGAAGGACTTTTAATTATCAAACTGATATAAAGCAGACTCTTAGGTCCTATTTGGTGCATTTTAAAAGCTTGTGGATATATTATCTCTTGAGGGAGGTCTGACCACTTGGAATAAATTTGAGGCAGCTCTGGAAAATAACCCTCGGGAAACTGTGAGTTTTGTATGAGATTAGCTAAAACTGTGGCTTGAGGTTGGATGTTTCACAGCTCTTTTACCTTGAATAAAAATCACCCAGAGGAATTGGAAACCACAGATTGCTGGGCCGCACCCAAAGTGACTGATTAAGTTAGTGGACAGTTGGTATTTATAACAGGTTGCCAGGCACTGCTGATGCTGCTTGTCTGGGGATCTGGCGTTCAGACTCATTGGTGTAGCAGAATGAGGAGAAAGGTGAGGCTGTCTGCTCCTTTAAGACTTACAGGCTGGGACTCCCTGCAAAGAAAGGGTTGTTTTGAGTCGGAACGGACTCAATGGCAATGCATTGTTGGTGTCGGAGAGAAAGTCTGTGGGTGGCACAAGTGGTTGGTGTTTTACTACTATAGGCAGCCTGGACCCATCTCGCAGTGCTGTGGAAGAAAGGCCTGGCAATCTGACTTCATAAAGATTGTGGCTATCTTGGCTGTTGAGTCGATTCTGACTCATGGTAACTCCATGATGGCATCCAAGACACCCTACAGAACAGTTCTACTCTGTAACACACGAAATCTCCATGAGACAGGATTGGCTAGATGACAATTGGCTAGCAGAGCAGTAGGTGCCCTGGGGGAAGAGTTGACAGAACAAGAAAACCCTCCTTTGCCTTTATCCTCAGCCATCATGGGATCTTGGACAAGCCCTTTACTCCTCTCTGCTTCGATTTCCAGTGTTCAAAACAGCAGGACCTGATACCCAGAGGTTGTGAAACGGGGAGAAAAAATGCTTCCCAAAAAGCATGGGTGGCATGCATAAAAGCTAAGTGTCATTAGTCAATAAATTGAGCCAGGATGGAATCCTTGTGCTGAAGGCAAACAGCCAAGGCAAAAGACAGAGGGCGAGTCTGGTATTGTGCAGTTCCGGGAAGGATTCGGGGTCCATACCTGGCACTTCGCACTTGGACTTTGAGGAAAGGTTAAAGCCACAGGAGCTGCCTTCAGCAAGCCTCTCGGTCACGTAGAAAGGCCTCCCTGCTTCCTATTCCTGGAGGAGGGGGGCTGGTGAGGCCAGTTTCTTCTTCTCTTTTTCTGGCTTTGTTGTGGTTTTGGAAACTCACTCTCTCGACACCTAAACCTTCTCACCACCCAAACCCTGATTCATCAGCTCCTGGGCGCGGGCTCTTTCTAAGGAACCCCTGATGGCCGATAGGGAATCCTTTCACAGAGATACCAGGACCCCCACTCGTCGAAGGAAGTCCAGCTTCTCATTTCACCTCTGTTTGCAGGTTCAAATGCTCATAAAGCCTGGGGAGGAACTCAATGTGGAACATGGGTGGTATGATTGTCATTATTATTGATAATATTGCAATAGCAACTACTGTTTATTTAACTGTTGCCATGTCCCCAGTGCTGTGATAAATGCCAACCACATTATCTCATTTAGGCTGCTTACCACTGTTCTGCCAAGGACATAGTTCAGAAATGTTAAGCTGACACAAGAGGTTCCACAGCTATTGAGCTGAGATTTAAACCAAGGGTGTTCAACCCAAAGCCCTTAGTTTTGTATCTTATTATTTGAGACGGTCTTTCAAGGAGGCTTTGGACCGATCGAAGTCTTGCTTACTTGGGCCATGAGAGCTAAGGTAAGAGGAAGGGTGCTCTCTGAGCTGCCTGCGATGCCCAGAGGAATTCCAGATGGTAGGATGAGGAGCAGTTTCTCCTGGTAGGAATCTCTCACTCCGCTGTGAGGGGGCAGTGAATGCCTCCATGCAAAACACTTCCAAACAACACTCAAGTCCTGGGAAGGTAATTGGTATTTGAACTATACTAGGACTTGGACCAGAGATAGCGTTTGGCAGGCAGTTTGTAAGCAGGCTGGGTGGGAGAATTCTCAGCCTCTTGTAGAAACTTCAGAGGAAGAGAAGTGGCCAGAAGAAACCTCTCAGCTCTGAGCGTGAGAGGTGCAGCCCTCCCATTGCTGTGGAGAGAGCTCTGCCTTAAGGGGCCTTCTGCTAAGTCCTTGATCTTTCTGCCTCTACTTTCTGACTTCTGTTTCTCAGATAATTTCATAAACGGGAAATATTAGGAAAGTCAGCAGCAGAAGAGGAATCCCTAGGTGCAGTAAATGGCTAACTGTATGGGAAGAGAGGGAGTGTTTACCCAGAGGTAACTTGGAAGAAAAATGTGGCCATCTACTTCAGACAAACCAGCCACTGAAAACCCACAGAGCACACACAGTTCAGCTCTTGCTCACAGAGGTCCCGGGGTTGATATTTACTCAATGGCAACTAACAACAATGAAAACGACATCCGAGGCAGTCAGAGAAAAGTAGTTTGGATGTCACAAGATTGGAATCACTAAATAGTTTCCAAAGTTTTGGAAGATGGCGGTCAAGAAGCAGAGGGTGTGTTGGTGACACGGTAGAGGCGGGGGGTGGGGGGCGGTGGAGAAAGGCAGAGGATGGAAGGAGCCGTGTGATGTGGTGGAAGAAGGGGAGAGAGCCCACTGAAGAATCGAGCTTTATTTCCAGTGGGAACAGTGTTCCTAGCTCACTGTGGGCCGTGGCTCTATGGGTCTGCTATTTCCAGGAGTGGCTATGAAACTGCGTCCCAGGACTTCATTGCTGGTGACCTGGAGATCCAAGTTCCTGGAAGAGCCTTCTTGATCACCGGAGGAAACAGCGGCATTGGGAAAGAAACTGCCATTGAAATAGCCAAGAGAGGTGAGCAGCCTGCCAACTCACGGTTCCCTGAGCCAACAGTGGGCATGATCCACTGCATCTTCGGCCGTGAGGAGGGGCCTAGCGGCTCTGGGAAGATCGCATAGCAGCTCAGTGTCTGACTTGTGCACGTAGCACCCAGCTGGCATTGGACAGAGTGGGCGACTAGAGGAGATTTTACTCATCGTTTAATTAGTTCACTGCCCATACTCCATGTTGTTTTCTGCTTAGACATGTGAAGGGCTGTAGCCAAGCACCAGTGGCACTTCAAGATCTGTGAACACTGGTCTCTAGCTCAAGTCCTTGGGTGGTGCAAGCAGTTTGCACTTGCCAACTAATTGAAAGATTGGTGGTTCAAACCTACCCAGTGTCTCTGGAAGTAAAAGGCCTGGGGTCCCAATACTGTAATGATAACAGGAAATCCTGTGACGTTCAGTCCTGTGCTGTAACACGTGGGGTTACCAGGATCAGGGTGGAGTGCAGGGGGGTGAGGAGCCTGGGAGTCCACCAAAATTGGGATGTGGACCCTCTCTATTGAAGAGCCAGTGCTCTGTAATGGTGATGGAATCACTGGAAAAGGACCGTGAGAGTCGTTGCCCTGCCTGATGCATGTAAATAGAGTTGCATTGACAGAAAAGGAAGACTGAGGATTGGGAACCGGTACTACAGAGAATGACCGGAAGGACCCTTGAGGGTGAAGGCTAAGGGCAGTGCTCCCTGCTCTGGTCTTGATGTGCAGGCTTCAGGATTACAGTAGTGTGGCTGGTCTCGTACTGCCCTAACCTTGGCTCTGTAAAGAGGCTCGTCAGGGGCCTGCAAATTAGTCAGTGTGCCCAGGGTTTTCTCTGGGTGAATACTAGGATGTTCTGCACCTCTCCCCTCCCCTGGTCACCAAATGGCACCATGTCTCTTAGAAGCCTCTTCTGTAGGAATAATTGATGTGCTCACAGAGATTGGGGGAATTGGTTGGGAATGTATCACTTTAAAAGATATTCAAGACTCTCTTTTCTTTGTTCCCCTGTGAAGCCCACTTTGGCCTTTACCAGGGGAATATAATACCACCTGGAGTTTCATTCACTTTCTGCCAACTCAGGAGAGGATTAACTGCATCTTAGCAACTACGTCTTAAACTCTGCGCTGTGGTGGGGAGGAGGCTGAGCGTAGTGGGTGTGTGGTTACCCAGCAGCCTCCCATGGAACTGACCCCATTTAATCAAGTGGCCTATTTTAAGTTAACAAAGCCTACGGGTAATGATTACTTCTGAACTGCCGCAGCCAAGGCATTCTCCTTTAAATCACCCTGATTGATGCTAGGCTGGCATCTGCTGAAGCAGCACGCATGCCATTTATGGATGTGGCCTTTCAATAACTTCACGGAGGCCCTCCTGCTACATATTAGGTCAGTGGTCCTCAACTGGGGCTGAATATTAGAGTCCCTTGGGAGTCTTTAAAAATACCCATGGCTGGGCCCTCACTGTGTTTCTTCCGAAGTGCCCCGGATGAGTCTAGCGATGATGCTGGGAGTGCGAGAGTGAGCCAGGCCAATACTTCTGCCTATGCTCAGACCTTCACAGAGCAGGCAGCGTCCCAAGCAGTGGGGAGAGCACCTTGGGTGCGCCTTCCTCTTTCCTTCCCTGCTCTTCCTCTGGAGGACACTGGTTCCATCTAGATTTTCCAGGTTTTCTGGGATTATATCATTGTTCTGGGAGGGAGTGGGGAGAACTCAGGGGAATGGATATATATATATATATATCCCCCGCCCCATTTTCTTCATTTGGGAAAGCTGGTCTCCGTGGATCATTGTTCTGGGAGGGAGTGGGGAGAACTCAGGAGAATGGATACACACACACACACACACATTTTCTTCACACACACACACACACACACACACACACACACACACACACACACACATTTTCTTCATTTGGGAAATGGGAAAGCTGGTCTCCGTGGCTAGCCTGTAACTCATCGGTGATTTTGTTGAATTCCGCCAGGTGGCACAGTTCATCTGGTTTGCAGAGATCAGGGCAGAGCCGAGGCTGCCAAAGTTGAGATCATCAGGGAGAGTGGTAACCAGGTGAGTGCTCTTCACCCCTCCTGCTGGGGGCTCCTCCCAGCTGGGATGCTGGGATGTCCTGCAAGGTTGCTGGGCCCCAACCATGCTTTATGGAGATGACACCGGCCTGCATTTGTACTTTCGTTTCAGAAGCAAGCCACCTCAGCCATGGGGAGAGTGGGATAACGTTATGCTTTTGAACAGGTTTGACCTAAGATAACTGGGGCACTGAGGTTTGACCCCAGGCCCCTGGGCAGGCAGGCACAACCAGAGCTGTGAGCAACTATATTTGGAAATTTCCATACTGGGCTTCCCTGCAGTGTGTTGGGGCTATGGACAGCCCTCTCAGAGTGGCCACGTCGGTACAACACTCAGGCATTGCCCACCTTATAGTGACCCATCAGTAAAGAGGAAATGCAAATAGCATTTCCTGTTGAGAGACCCTTTCTAACAAGAGCTATCAAATCTTCTTCACATTTTATGATCTTCCTCTTTTGAGAAGTGGAATCAGCACAGAATCATCTATCTACGTTTTTAAAAAGCAACTTTTGAAAACTCAGTGGAGCACATTCTGTCACCATTGGCTCGGCAGCAACTTGATTGGTGTCAACTGAAGAAACAATAACAGTTTTGTGGGGGGTGGGGGGTCCAAGCCCCAGCGATTGCACTTCCTGGGCAGACACCACTGGCTTCTCAGTAGAGCTGAACGGGTTTTTGCAGAGCTTTCAGACTAAGATGCGGTGGAAAGAAAGGCCTGGCGGTCTGTTTCCAAAAACCAGCCAATAGAAATCTGTGGATCATAATGGTGCGATCTACAACGGATCACGGTAGGGCACAGCACTGAGCAGTGTCTTTATTCCCTGTGCATGGGGTTGAACAAGCTAGTGTGGTGGAAGCTCACAGTAACCATGAAAAGTTTAACATGAACTGTAGGGCCCTGTCCATAATGGACTAAATGGACCGTTCCTTAGCTTGTCATGTATTCTTTCCAAAAATCGGGACTTTTTAAAAACACCAAAAATCGGGACTGGCCCACCAACAGCGGGACGTCTGGTCACCTTAACATCAAATCATTAAAATTTCACTCTGGTGGAAGCAGAGCCTTACATAAGTACTGGGCCAATCTGGAGACTGAGGATTCACTGGGAGCTGGAGAGATGGGACCGGTAGGGAGACTCAGGTAACCCAGGGCCACTCCTGTACTATCCCAAAAGAACATGCCCCTTCCCTTCCCAATTCAACGTTCCTGCTTTCTCTGCTTGAAGCCAGACTTCCCTCCTCCTCTCCTCCTGGGAATGTTTCCCTACTAACTGCCCTCAAAGACAAGCTCTGTGTGGGGAGGGGAGAGGGAGTGTTTTTGAGGGGTGGCGGGGAGCAGTCCTGACTCCTTAGACCTGGACTATGGCCCAAGGGGGTTATGTCGCAATCTAGAATGGAACATTCCGTTGCTGCCCAAGGAAGTTATTTTCTATAGAACATTATCAAAGCCAATGATATTTCTTTCTCTTCAGGAGACTTCTGTCATCTCGCGCCATTAGATGCTTTACAGCAGTTTAGTGTTAGCAGCCAGTACGAGGGGCTCTAAATCTTGCTCTAATATCTGCAAGTGCCTGTGAAATCTGCAGTTTGCTGTTGAGACAGAGTCAGCCTGTGCTACGGGAATACTAATCCCTGCCACGGCGGAGGAGGCATCACTGAGATTCTAGCCTGCTGTGGTTTTCAAAGTGAACTTACTTAGAAAAGGAGGCAACTATGGTGTGGTTTATAATATTGAATCTATATATATCCTCCATCTTTGAGAAGGGTTATAGAGCCAAAGGAAGGCCTGGGCAGTGTCAATGGCTAACATGCTCGGCTGCTAACTGATTCGAGCCTAGCAAGAAGGACCTCCAAAGAAAGACCTGGCAACTGACTTCTGGGGAATCTGTGGAGCACTGTTCTGCTGTGACACACATGGAGTCCTCCTGATGGGGACTGTTGGCTAGACCTGAAACTAAGGCAAGGAAGTGATCTGGGGTGGGCAGGAGCGAGCCTTCACCCCCACACACACACATATTACAGATGTTTAAACACTCAGGTGGGAGACTCACATATATGAGGGAGCTTCAAAAAGTTCATGGAATAGAAAACTGGAATTAAAAGATAATGACATTTCCCCATGAACTCTTTGAAGTCCCCTTGTGTTTAGATAAATGGCCCCAGCACTCAGAGCTCCGAGTGTCCAGCACTGAGGATGCGGCGTGTTCATATCCATGAGAATGTTCCCTGATACAGAATCTGCTCAGGAGCTACACCTCCCCACAGCTCATTGAACCTGCAGTCCCGAGGGAGACCACACACAGCAGCGTGGGGTGCTGGGAGGAGCTGGGCCTTGACTTCTCCTACTGCTTCTGCATTTGCCTGGTTATTTTGGAAAATGCCTTGTGAATTCAGGCAAAGCCCTCAGCTTCTCTTATCCTCAATCTTCTCATTTGAAAAATAGGGGTGTATTAGAAGTTGGCTTGTGTTCCCCCAAAATATGAGTTGAAGTTCTGATCTCTGTACTTCTGGATATGATCCTATTTGGAACATAAATCTATTCTTTAAAGCCACCTTCTTGTGGTAATTTTGGTCACAGAAGCACTGGATAATCAAGATATGGTGACACTAATTTTTTTGTAATATGTATTTGCATATACACTCTATGTCTGAAAGCATGCACGGGGCTGAAGAGAAACTGAGGTGAGAGAGCCCGCCCCTGTCCTCATCAAGTCAATAGGCATGAAGGATGGATACAACGAACGAAACATGGCCTCTCAGTGAGGTGGTGTACCCACCCGGGCCTCACCGAGCTCTATCCAAACAATCATAGAAGAACACAAAGCTTTCATTGGACAGCTCCCTTGGTAGCATTTTCGAAATAGCTTTTCAGATTTTCTTGTTGTTAGTTGCCATTGAGTTGATTCCAG